GATCAGGTAAGTGCATAGGACGGCGTGGACGTACTATGCCGCCCCCCGGCTTAGGACCGGGTTCCCAAGGACGGCACAGTACGCCCGCCGTCCTTAAGGGGTTAAAATAATAATAACAACAAAGTATTTAACAGTCAGATTTCTCTGGTTTTTAAGTATGCCCTGGGGATGTTACTCTTGCCCAACATCTAGGATGTTACTACCTGCAGGGACAAATTTAAATTCACCAGAACTTAATTAAGCTGTATTTTTTTTCTGGTAACTATCCAATTTTTTTCATCATCTAAACAATCCCTGTTATTTATTTAATATTTATTGTTTCAATATTTTACTGATTATTTGGTCCACAATAAATGTATGTGTTCGACAGAAATAGATTGTTCTGTATAAATGGAACATTAGTTCTCCAAGGTAACCCCACATGATTTGTTAACAAAGTCTAACAGTTAAGTATAACTTTTAATTGAAATATTTTCTGAGAATCTGGCAACATGATAAATAAAGGTCTCCTTTAACCAATTTCCTGACTATCAGGTATATTGCGCCTGACTGCTAAAGTATTCCCAAAATGGAAAGTACAAACATATTTTTTTTTCCAGTGTAAGCAGCTGATCTAACAGTCACAGGTGCGATTGAAGGCTATGGAGGAGAAACGTCACGCTGCTTATCACTATATTAAATGCCTTCTGTTTATTATTTTTTAGTGCAAACATGGTTATTTACTAAACTCCAAGTAACTGTTAATTAAAAATCCAAATGGCAACATTTAGGCTAAAATATTTGATCTGGAAAAAAATTCTGACTCCGTTATAGTGACAGCTTGGCTATTTTTTCTTCATCTTTGTCATTTCGATTTTAACTTACTGCAGTCCAAAATGTATTGAATAAACCCCTGACATGGATTGTTCTGTCATCCCCTCGGGTATTAGTCTATGATTTATTTTGGAGATCTTCTGCAGGTGTTAAAACCAATGTCTATGTCTAAACAGGCTCTGAAGTTGGATCACACAGTTACATAGTTACACAGACTGAAAAGAGACTTGTGTCCATCAAGTTCAGTTGAGCCTTTCATTTGGTTAAGTTTGAGAATATTACCAAAGGTGACTGGCAAGCACCAGGTAAGATTTGCATTTTGTTTAAGTTCAAAGTAAAATAATTCACAATATATCCCATATTCATGCACAAAAATCCTGTTTATCATCAAGAAAATAATTTCTGCTCCGTATTTTTGCCACAAATGGTTGTCCTCCTTTCTTGCACTATATAGGAACCTGTACAGGTGGAGGCGGTAGGCACAAGGCTGGCACAATCATTCACCAGCTCTTATTTTTGGAATATTTTTGGCACACACGTTGCATGTTTCAAAAATGTATTTCTACTTCTACCTTAGTTTTAGAACAAAATTGCACAAATGGTATCTCCTAATTAACAATTATAATTAACAATCCCTAACAAAAATTTCCAAATTCAAAAATTATGTTAATAAACAGGGATAAATATCATTATGTACATAAAATAGCATTTCTTTTTTTAATATGAAAACTTGGTAGAGAAAGGATTATCGTGAACATATATTTTGCAATCAAACTGTACCTGCTGAATGTTCTAAATTTAGAAATGCTAATTAAGGTATGCCTGATCCATAGATTACTGCAATAAAAAAAAGTTAATATGCTTTAGGTGTAAATAGTAGTAGCCTGCAGGTTAAAGTACATATTTTTACTTAATCTAATTCATTCCTTTGTATAACGATAATTAAACTCTCGTCATATCCACCACAATCTATGTTTAGTTTAACCCCTTAAGGACACATGACGTGTGACATGTCACGATTCCCTTTTATTCCAGAAGTTTGGTCCTTAAGGGGTTAATTAACATTCATATATTGTAATTATATATTCCCCAAAAGCAACACGCTGGTACATTGGCACATCTAAACCTCTAAAGTTACCCGAAAATGTCTCCTTTATATTTTGGAGGTTAGTAAAATTTCCCAACTTCAAAACATTTAGACAAAAGTAAAATTGATAATACAATCACTGTAAATAGAATTGTATAATTTAGTACGTACCTAGAGTGTCATCCAAAGTAAAAATCGAGAGTCACTTAGAACATATCTCCCAGTAATGTAAGATGGAGTGTGAGGTGAGAAAGTTCAAAAATCAAAAATGTTCTGTAAAACATGCTCTTAGTAATATATATATTTATAGAACAGTCACTTTAGTACGCTGATTGCCTTAGGCTGCTAAACTGCATCAAGTTTCACTTGTTGACTTAATCTTCCAAAGACTTGGTGTGCTGGTAAGCTTAACCATACGTGTCTGAAAACAGGAATTATCCGTTGACAGGAGGTTTGCTCCTTTTAGTTTAGCTGGGAGGCGATTTCTGGCCAAAACTAGTTTTGCATCTCTTACATCCTAATTGTTGTTGTTTTTTTCCTGGCAATTTTATATAATGAGACTAATGCGTTGACGTTAGATATGCTCGCTTAGCTTGGGTGTAGAGCAGCTGATGGCAGAAAACTAGCTCTCGTGTCCTTGGTGATGACTTCTAGAAGATTAGAAAAAATAAGCACCTGTGTTTGCATAAGTCACGTCTTCTGTAGAACTGTTTGAGAACGAATAGATGTAGATAGTTATTTTGTACACATGACACTATTTTCCTGGTTTGCATCACTGAGGGCATACTATTGCGTTGTTCCTAAATGCATCTTCCCTGTAGGCTATACTTGGTAATATCTTTATTACGACAAGTTTAAGGAAATTGCAGAATCTTGGCAGCAGTATAACACAATTAGAGCTATAGAAAGACAAATCATGCTTAACAATGACAACAAACAGTAAACCTGGCTGACCTCTTCTGCCCAAAACTTTAAAGCATTCAAAATGAAAACAATCTGAACATTCCAGATTTCTCTCTGTATTAATAATTTTTATTTTTTATTTTTTTTATTTTAGACATTTGATTTCAGTGTGAGAAATTACAGGTTACCAATCCATGTGATATATATTACACAATATCCAGCGCACTCACCTATCCACTAACAGCAACCTCAATGCAGGCAGATTTTTATATATATATATATTTTTTTAAACACCTAATCTAGGCAAAAATAATGGGGGTTTGGTTACATTATATGACCACACACTGCATAAGCCTGCCACAAGGTCAATGTACCCCATCTTTGGTAGGTCCTACTGTAAAAGCCTAATGTCTGACGTTGCTGTTTAGTGGATAAGTGAGTGTGCTGGATCTTGTGTGTTGTATAAATTGGCCCTCAGCAGCACCCCATTTATGCATGTTCAGGTGAGTGCAGCCCCCTGGTTTCATATATATTTGGGAGTCTAGCCAACTCCTAGGTGTTGCACCTCTACCTGTCACAGGTGTCTCATCTCAGGGCTCTATTTAGCCTTGTACTGCAGATAGCCCCAGATTATTTTTTTTTCCCCCAAGTTAAGTGGGTTAATCTCATAAGAGCAGACATTAGGGTGTTAGACTAGGAACTGCCAAAGATGGGGTAATTTGACATTGCGGCAGGCTTATGTCATGTATGATAATATAATGTAACTAAACCCCCATTATTTTTGCCTAGATTAGGTGTTTCTTAAAAAAACTAATAAAATCTGTCAGCATTGAAGTTGCTTTAGTGGATTGGTGAATACACTGGATCTTTGCACCCCTCCCTGTCACAGGTGCCTCATCCCAGGGCCCTATTTAGCCTTGTACTGCAGAGAGCCCCAGATGGAATTTTTCCCCCAAGTAGGTTAATCTCATAAGAGCAGACATTAGGCTGTTAGTGTAGGACCTGCCAAAGATGGGGTACATTGACGTTGTGGCAGGCTTATGCACTGTATGATCATATAATGTAACTAAACCCCCATTATTTTTGCCTAGATTAGGTGTTTTTAAAAAAACAAATAAAATCTTTCAACATTGAAGTTGCTGTTTAGTGGATAGGTGAGTGCGCTGGATCTTGTGTATTGTATTATTTGGCCCCCAGCAGCACCCCCATTTATGCATGTTAAGGTGAGTGCAGCCAACCCCCTCTTGTTTATATATATATATATATATATATATATATATATATATATATATATATATATAGTGACAAAAGTACTCCTTTCCCTTGGTACCTTGTCCTGGGATTGGGGTGTTACACACAGTCTTTTCAGGCTTTAGAGACACTTCACACGCTGGATGAGGTAAACTGACTTGCTCTTTTATTGAGGTTCCAAAATAAATGCACAGTAAAGTATAAAGGTAACAAAAATATATCAAACAAAAGCCTTGCTCTTCTGAGCACTAACTAAACAAAATAATCAGCTAACTGGGTTGGATGGCTTGTCCATTTCCCAACATAAACATAAACATCCTTACTTCTTCAGGGTTTTCAGCTCTCTCTTTCCACTCACAGAAACCAAACACAATCTCCCTTCTTCCTTGGCAGGGGAGTACTTAATAGCACTGGTAATTGACAATCCTTTTCAGGTGAGTTAGATTAGGATTCAAACTCCAGAACTGGACTTCTCACCAAGCAACTTCCAAAATGTGGAGTGGAGCACTGGCCCACCCTACTCTCCAGGTGCTCCACCCCAGGGCCCAAATATACACATATTATACACATATTTAAAGTGCAACATTCATTAGAACATAACACATTTCCCTGGGGCTAATTACACAAAGTAAGAACCTTGCAAAATCTGGGGAGGTATATAGGTTCCTTCCAGCACAATTCCTTGCTTTCTGTCACAATATATATATATGTGTGTGTGTGTGTTTGTCTACACGCACACATATAGCTGCAGGTAAACAGTCCTTTCCATACTTATATGGCTAGGGTGGCAGGAGACTCCAAGTCATTACCTCAACTTGGTCATCTCTTGCACGTCAGCTCCCGCTGTCAGATTGTTGCTTCAGGTTACTATGTCAATACTCTGATGCTACACAATGCTGGGGCTTGTGAGAACAACAGGCACCCAGCAGAGGGGCAAGCAGGCAGGGCCGGACTGGGAATTAAAAGCAGCCCTGGAAAAAAAATATTTACCAGCCCCATAATGCGTCGCGCCAGCATAGTGTGCAGATACAGAGTTAAAACAGATAACTTAAAAAGTACTTCAACGTAAAAAGCGCACTCATAGGCTTCAAAATAAACAAAAGTGCAGATTTATTTTAAGCAGATGTGCCTTTGCATGTAATCAATGTTTCAGTCCAACTACCTTGACATATTAAGGAAAGCTTGTTAATGGGACTGAAATGGTGAATGTATTTAGGGCACAACTGTAAAAAATGTTTATTTTGAAGTCCTGTGGGTGTGCTCTTCACTTTAAATATGTTATTATGCTGGAGTATGCACCTAGCAACAAGATTGGGCCAATATCTGCTCATTACATATGGTACATATTAATGAAATTTCTCTGTGTATTATGCATATATAAATGTACATTAATATGTGTAAATATAATATATATATATATATATATATATATATATATAACTAATATACACACATTAATATATACATGTCATATATCAGTGATGGATCCAGAACCTGAGCCTGGGAGGGACACTTGTAGATTATTTAAAGAAATATTCCATGCACAATAACCACTACTCCTCTGTGTAGTGGTTATGGTGCCAGGAGTGTCAGCACCCCCTCCCAGAGTAAGTAGTCAAACCGTTTAAGAACAGTTTGACAACTTACCTGGAGTCTGCTGGGATATGGGGCTGTAGTAGGGTATAGGAGCAGTGGTGCAATGTGTGAGGGGTGCAATGTGTGTGAAAGGTTCAGTGTGTGGGTGTGGGGGGGGGCAGTGTGTGAATGTGTATGGTGTGTGTGTGGGGGGGCAGTGTGTGAATGTGTATGGTGTGTGTGTGTGGGGGCAGTGTGTATGGTGTGTGTGTGTGTGTGTGTGGGCAGTGTGTGTATGGAGCTAGAGTTCACTCCTACTACTGCGACCACCAGGAAGTGGTGAGAGTGAACTCTAGCCCGTAGCTCCAGGGCTAGAGTCCACCCTTGTGAGAGCTGGAGCGTTGCCCCGGGTCCTCTCTTTCTCCCCCTCACTGCTCCTCTGTGTCAATGTCTCCCCTCTCCTTCCCAGTCTCTCTCTTCCCCCTCTGCCTCTTTCTTCCCCTCCCCTTGTGTGTCTCTCTCATTTCTCCCTCTTTGTCTCTCTCTTCCCCCTCTGCCTCTTTCACCCCTTTTCCCTGTGTCTCTCCCTCCTCCCCATCTCTCTCCCTCTTTCACCCCCTTTCCCTGTGTCTCTCCCTCCTCCCTTTCCCTGTGTCTCTCCCTCCTCCCCATCTCTCTCCCTCCTCCCTTTCCCTGTGTCTCTCCCTCCAACCCATCTCTCCCCCCTTCCCTGTGTCTCTCCCCTTCCTGTGTCTCTCCTTCTCCCTCCCTCCCCTTTGCCTGTGTCTCTCCCTTCTCCCTCCCCTCCTTTCCTGTGTCTCTCCTTCTCCCTCCCCTTTCCTGTGTCTCTCCCTTCTCCCTCCCTCCCCCCCTTTCCCTGTGTCTCTCCTTCTCCCCTCCCTCCCCCTTTCCTGTGTCTCTCCCCTCTCCCTCCCTCCCCCCTTTCCCTGTGTCTCTCCCCTCTCCCTCCCACCTTTCACTGTGTCTCTCCCTTCTCCCTCCCCCCTTTCACTGTGTCTCTCCCTTCTCCCTCCCCCCTTTCCCTGTGTCTCTCCCTTCTCCCTCCCTCCCCCCTTTCCCTCTGTCTCTCCCCTCTCCCTCCCTCCCCAATTTACCTTAAAGAAGGCAAGGGGGCCGGCCGCGTTCCAGACTGGAGCCGCCGGGCCGGCGGCACTCCAGTCACTGGCTGCTGATGGAGGAGGAGCCTGTCTACCATGCTCCCTCGCGGTTCCACCACGTGAAATTTCCCGGTATCCCGGTGGGCCAGTCTGGCCCTGCACGTGACTACCCGGCGCTCAGTCTGACACTGCGCCCGCCAGACGTCCAGAGGTCCCCCTGCTATGTCAGGTAAAAGGGGGGGGACAACAGTTTGTAGGGGGGAGAGCAAAGCCAGTCACCTCTGAAAAGACAAAAAACAGATGCCTGAGTATTTTTAGTGTTACTTAATGGAAGGGTTAAAGAAGGGTGGAGGGGGGAAGGTAGAAAAATGAATGTAAAAGGTTAGGGGGGCTTCTAATATGGATGGGAGGAAGGGGAGGTAGAAAAGAATTGAAGGGGTTAGGGGCTACTAATATGGATGGGGGAGAGGGCTAGGTAGAAAAATGAATGTAAGCGGTTAGGGGGGCTTCTAATATGAATGGGAGGAAGGGGGAGGAAGAAAAATAATTGGAAGGGGTTAGGGGGTCTACTAATATGGATGGGAGGAGGGGGAAGGTAGAAAAATAATTGGAATGGTTTAGGGGGCTTCTAATATGGATGGGAGGAGGTAGAAAAATAATTGGAAGGGGTTAGGGGGGCTACTAATATGGATGGGGAGAGGGGTAGGTAGAAAAATAATTGGAAAGGGTTAGGGGGGCTACTAATAAGGATAGGGGGAGAGGGGTAGGTAGAAAAATAATTGGAAGGGTTTAGGGGGGCTACTAATATGGATGGGAGGAGGGGGAAGGTAGAAAAATAATTGGAAGAGGTTAGGGGAGTACTAATATGAATGGAAGGGGTAGGGGGTACTAATACGCATGGAAGGGGTAGGGGGGTTAATATGCATGGAAGGG